ACGTACCATAAGCACTTTTTCAGCACAGAAAGCATACACATTCATAAGACTGTCGTACTATTATATATCCAGTTTTTATCTTTAGCATTCCTACAAATTTTATAAATTTGCATTTTATTTTACATATTATATAAAACTAAGTTTCACTTATTATTACATACCTTTAAATTTTTGGATGTTCTTTTTACAATGATTTTACAAAGGTTTTACAAGTGGTAATTTTACTCAATTATTTGTCTGTAAATTAGGAGCAACTTGTAAATATGAATTATGTAACAGAAGGTATTTTACCGATACATAAATTTGTTAAAAGTATGTATCTGGAAAATTATTTCTTTAAAAGATATTTCAATTGTTTAAGATTAAAATTCTTTTAAAAGGGTTTTTGTATTTCCAGCACACAAATTAAAAAGAAAATTTTTAGGTTGATAGACTTTCAAGAGAGTCTTTTACAAATGGATCACATTTACAACTTTTACACTTATACGACACTGGTGCAGTGCTTGCATCCAGTCATAATGTGGATTTTGTACAATTTACATAATTTGGCAGAATACAATTATTTATTTTTCATTTTACATGCTGTAATTTTATTTAGTTTAGTCTATTTTAATATCAATATAATTTATTAATTATAGAATATTTGACCAGTTTTCACTTATTTTAAGACTTAAATTTTATTAATACAATTTTTGGTTTTAAGGATTTCAAAACTTTCTTTGAATTTTCTATTATATGTATTTTTTTCCCTATGGAGATCTTGACTGAGGAGGGACAGTGCCCGAAATGTGTTATTATACTCATAACCGTATCAACTGAATAAAGATGGTATATCGCCAAGTGTTGAAAGAGAAAAACACTGTTAGTGAATCAAAAAAATTACTATGGTTGTTGAAATACTAAATATAAAATGGGATTTGCTTGCAAAATCTGCACAGGCAAAGTCACAGGTAACAGCTAGTTATTATATTTGAATCAAGCACACTTTTTAAAAATTAATTTATACAGTACATTCCAGTTAATTAGGACCACTATTTATTTGGACATATTACTTTTTGTTTGTCTTTCAATATAATTGAAAGCAAATTTATTTATTTGGGACTTCGTGCTACTTTATCAATACAGCATATAAAGTACAGTATGTATTGAATGTGAAAAACAAATTACAAGAGTTAGCTGCAAAGATGGTTCACACAAATTTCAGAGCTGCATATGTATGATTATTGCGAAAGAAAACTGACAGGAAGTAAAATTTAAGAGGGCTCATGGTGAAAAAATAATGCTGACACCAAATGCCAAACAGTGGAAATCAACTAAGTTGCCTAAATTTCTGCAAAAAATTAGTCCTGATCAAATCTACAGTGTACATGAAACAGGGCTGTTTTACCATGCCAACCTCAATGGTTCCCAGAGTTTTAAACATGAAATACTGTCAGGTTAAAAACACCTGATGAATAGCATTACCATATAGTGCTTCTGTAATGTCAGATGATAGTCATTAAAAAGCATTTTAAGCCTCAGTGCTTTACAGATCTTAGAATAGACTGGTAAACAGTTGATTATTATGCCAACAAAAATGCACGAACAACTTTCAATATTTTTCTGAAATGGCTTATGAGTTGGGATGAATAGCAGAAATAGTCAAACAGTTCTGATATTCTTGGACAACTGCTGCTCACTCTCATGTTGAATGTTTGAAAGAAAGACATTCATCTGTAGTTTCTTCCAGCTAATATATATCCTTGATACAACTACTGAATACGTAAAGTCTGCCAACAGTGTGTGATTGTCAGGATGATCAAGGTCAAGATCATGCATGGGCATGAAATATACACAGATAGACTTACCATTTACTTTTTCCCATTTAATAAAATATTAAAAGTTTTCTTACAAAAGTTTCTACATCCTTGTCACTACAATTCTCAAAAAGAAAGTCTAGTAAAGTCCAAATGTCCAGTTAGATGTCTTTAGTCGGGCCCTCATTGATGGTCTGCAAGATTGACAGCCCCAGGACTCGTTAGCATGTTATTAACCTTGGATATAACAGTTCTTGGAGAAAGAATAAACTTTGGAGAGAGAGAGAAAGAATAATTCTGGGAGATAGAACAACGGAACTTGAATAGTGGATCTTGGAGAAGAACAAATATTGGAGTAAACATCATCATGTCCTTGAAACATGTTTCATAGGATTCTCCCCCTATTCCACATTCCGAATGGTCTTCTCTCATCTCCCAGTGACAATTCAAAAAAACCTCTCAGGGCTTGGGAAGTCATTATCAACACTTAACCCAATCCTGATCATTAAAATTCCTCTGAACTTTGATATTTTCCCCATAATTCTAGCATTTTGTTTTCTGTTTTGATGAAAAGAACTTTTATTGTTAAATTGTTAACAATAAAAGAACTTTTATTGTTTTAATTTCAAAAAGGTGAGAACTTAACTGTCCCACCAGATATTTATCAATAACAAAATTGATTTCTTTCCAGGACCTCACAGATATGGAAATCTCAAAAAATAAAAAAATTAAAACTATTGCAGAAAGCTAGGACAATACATCTTTGAAGCAATTGAAGAAAGTATCTTATCTACAAGAGTAGATGAAATTAGTTCCAAAATTACTATTTTACAAGCAATGTAATGTGCCACTGGTAGTAAAAAAGCTATAGCACAATTCAAAACTGCTTTTCTCATTGTGTCTTTAAGACTTCAGAACAAGAAATGACATATGACTGATAATGAAATTGCCTATGGACTACAAAATGTTATTCACAAAGAATTTTTATAAATTGATAACCACCTTCCATGTTGCAATGAAAATAAGGATTGTGTAGATGCAATTATTGAACAAGTTATTTCAGGAAAACACCTAAAAATTGATAAGGTTAGTAATGGAGACAATACTCCTGATCAAGGATTAGCAACTAGGAAGCTAAAAAATTTATTTTTTAAATAAGACAAATATTTCATACTAGCTGTTACCCGCAACTTCGTCCGCAGAGGTTTTGCAAGCAAACCCCATTTACATTCAATATTTCAATAACCATAGTAATTGTTAGGTCTATATAACACCTACCGCTGAAAAGAATTGCCGAGAATCAAACGAACCACTTTCAATTTGATCAATTTTCAGGAGCATTTACAATCGTTCTATAACCGAACCAATATGCAATAACAAATTCAAATTTAAAATGGTTCCAACATTTTTAAAATTGAAATAGATAACATTTCAGACATTGTTATAAATATTTTTATCAATTTAATACACCTAAGTACTCAATGAAGACTAAATGTAGTTGAAAACAAAAATCACATCTAAAATAGTAGAGTAGAAGCCGTTCTTCCAGTTAAGCCTTAATGCTCTCCCTCACCCTCCGCGGGAGAATTTCTAAAAATCCCTTCTTAGTGTGCATTGCTATGACTTACCCTACTAAAATGCACATAAAAACAAAAAATCACATCTAAAATAGTACAATAGAAGCCGTTCTTCCGGTTAAGCCTTAATGCTCTCCCTCACCCCCCTGCGGGAGAATTTCTAAAAATTCCTTCTTAGTGTGCGTTTCCATGACGTACCCTAACTGTCTACCAAATTTCACCCCTTTAGGTTAGCAGTCTGCTCTGGGCAATGATGAATCAGTGAGTGAGTCATTCAGTCAGTCAGTCAGGACAAGCAATTTTATGCTTGTCCTGGCTGACTGACTGAATGATAAAAGCCCTTCGGGGGGGATTTTGACACGTATATTATATAAAAACACGTGCGTATTTGAATGCAGCGTTGTGTCAAAGTTTCAAATGAATTGGTAGGAACAAATGAACATTACATTTTTATTTATATAGACAGATAGAAGATGGTCTGTTTTAGTTCATTTTCACAGAAAAGCAAACTTAGGGCGTCATACTTGTAGCACCATCTGTTGGACATAAAAGCCTTAACCATAGATGATATCATTTAATTTATATGAATGTTTAACGGAATAATATACAGCCTATGTCCACCCTGAGGTTCCATTCTAAATATTGGTGAAAGAATTTTTGAAATCGGATGAGTAGTTTCGGAGATTACCTGCTGCAAACAAACTTACATACATACAAACATTATCTCTTTATAATATTAGTATAGACAAGATGGAAACAAAGGAAGTTCCATTTCTACATTGGATGCCTGTGCCACTTTTGCATAGTATAAAGAAAATGCATCAAGATATGCTCAATAAATTTCTGCAAAAATAATTGGTTCTTTTTTGTTTAATGATTATATTTTAATTGTTATTTTTGAACTTGAATTTATTTACATATATGCATTCACACTGAACATTAATTATATTTTTCAATAAATAGTCTGCCTGTATCTCATTTAGCTTAAATTTTCTGTTGTTTTCCTAAAATTCACTTAATCGAAACAGCCACTTAACAGGGACAAATTAGTCAGGTCCAGATGTGTCCCAATTAAGCAGAATCAACAGTATGAATTTCAAGAACAGCATGTTTGAATTTCATAATTTGAATTAACCAGATTCAATTAATGCATGGAAGTATAGTCATCACTGAAATTGCTTACCTTCATATTATTTACTTTGATATACTAGTCATGTACTATTATAGTTTTAAAAAACACCTAATTTAATTGAATAATGACAAACTCATTCTTTAAAATTAAATAATCACACATTAAAAAACATGATAAAATCCTAGTTTTTGTATATATGAATGATAAAACACCATAAATATCATTTAAAGAGATACAAAATTAAAGCATAATTTTTTCCTGCATCAAAAGTTTAAACTATCATCATTATGAAAAAATTTACTTGTTTAAGTCTTCAATTTTTCTATAATTAAAATTAGAAAAAAAAAAAATCATAAACAATTTAATTTCAAATATCAACTAAATTAAAACTAAGTAATAAATCTTTTGTTAATTAACAAAACAAAACTCATCTACTTGATTTTCTAAAATTAAAAAAATGTTAAATTGAAAAGCTAATGAAATTTTTTTACTTACTGCAACTTGCTCAGGAGTCCATGTATCAAGATTTACAGATTTTACTTTAGATATATGCACACCTAAATTTCTATGTATTCCTGCACATCGTATACACAAAAATATGCCAAGATTCCATGATGCCCATCTTGGTCCTATTAAAATTTACAAAAATTTTACAGAATGCAAAGCTACAGCATAATAGAATATATATAAATTTTAAAATATATTGATTATATGATGAAAAACTCAATGTAGCAGAGTTTATCCAAAATGAATGAATGACAATAGCTAAGTTCACCCTAAAACTATATTAGGAACAGCACAGTAGCACATTTTTTCAACTTGTACATTACACTAAATAATGGACATATTAGTGAACATTTATACATAGCAAAAATATTGGTCATTCTTTGTACTGACAATCAGATCTGCACTGTTTCAAAATCTCTACATTTAGACTCTTATTAGAATTTATAAGAAGATCTAACACATACTGTACCAATATTTTGGTACAGTATGTATTAGATCTAATAATAATAAATGTTTGTACAGTATTACACAGAGAAAGTTAAGCTGTATTGAATGATTGGTAATATGGTTTGGGTACCCTGAGAAGCTAGTTAGACAATTGATAGATAGTTATACAGTATAAACAAAAGAACATAAGGAAGATAGTGAATGCATCAAGATAGTAAGATGTAGAAAGATTAGGATGATATATGAAGAAATCAAAAAAATTACCAGCTAAAATCCAACTAATTCAATAACCTAAAACCAGCAAAACTGTCTCTAGCCAAGCAAACTTTTTCATCCACTTTCAATTGTATATCTTCAGGCTACAATCAAATTATAACCTCATGATCTGTTGTCACCTGTTGACTGATAAGACAATCCCCATATGAACTCATGTAAATGCCAGTGTTTAAGGGGGAATGGAAGAACACCCATTCCCCATTGTTTGATCCATTGGAGAAAGTGTCATCATCTTTGAAGTTGATGACCTTATTCAAAGATCCCTTCTTTATCTCCAACAGTTCAAGGTAGCAAAGTTGTGCTGTGTCAAACATTTGATGGAGGATACTGGTCTTATCCAAATGAACTTCCATGTCTGGGTCAGTGACATAAGATGATAGTGTGGTGGAGTTGCAATCCTTAGAAATATCAGAACAGTGTTTGTGTTTAAGTAGAAAGTGATCTGTTTGCTGGTGGTTCCAATGTACTCCAAGTATATGTTGGTTCTATGTTCCATAACAGTAAGGTTCAAAGGGGGTATAAAGTACCCTGAATGTTTGGTTACAAAAGTAAATACTGTGTATTAATTTGTTTTTAGCAGATTACTTTCTTTTTCTAAGTAAAATGTTCCTCATAGTTTCCTTTTTGTCAGTGTAACAGAAATCAGGAGGCAGATGCAGATAAGGGTTATATGATTTATGCACAGATCCATGGAATTCATTATGAAATACGTATTTTCTTAAGCAGGTAGAAGTATCATATCACCTTTTGCATTTCTATATAATTACTCTTTCAGAAAGAGTAATATTACATAAAATAATATTGCTTAAATCCTTACTTAAAAAGATTCAAATAAAGTGCATTAAAGTCTGATTTTGCTAGTTTTAGTTTTATCAATTGAAGAATTTTCTTTGAAGGATACCTTGTAGGCATAACAAAAGCATTACATTTACAATCTAAAGAATTTGGTTTCATATAACAAAATTTACAACTTAAGTTGTTCAACTGTCCCCTTCTAAGCTTTAACTTATAAATGCTTAGTTATGCAACCACTTTTTACAACTAAGGTTGTGCCAAATGGATGACTTCTTAAATATGCAATGATGAATCATATGATTTAGCTTATAAGTCTTACAACTTGTAATTTTTATTAAGAGTTCAAATCTTGATCCCATAAATTATCAAAAGATGTGAAAAATTGACATAAGTGACAATAATTACCAATTTCCAGATGTAGAGTTAAGACAACATATTATCAAGAACAAAGTAAAATCAAATAAAAATATAGCAAATATAGAATGAACATTTTAATAAAAAAGGAAATCTACAATGTATGATACATTATGCATTAATTTTAAATTTTTAGGTTTGAGAATATTAGCATTTGCTGATGTTTTACACATCATATTGCTTTACTATGCACTTTTTAAAAATATATGTAGTACAGGTAACCCCCGTATAACACGGCACTTCTATAGCACGGATTCACTATAACACGGTTCGAGAATTGGTACCATCCCCATATAACACGGTACTTTTATAGCACAGATTTACTCTGACACGGTTCGAGAATTGGGTAAAACCCTCGTACAACAGGAAATGTAATAAATTTTTACATACTTAAGTAATAATAGTTCACGAAAATAATAATTTTCGTGAACTATTAGTACTTAAGTATGTAAATTTTCTCTTCTCGCCTTCTGTCGATACATGTGATCCTTCTCGAAACTTGTTTCAATGTTGACAGATTGCGACGCTTCTGCTTCTGATGTTGCCAAATGTTTTTCCCTTATTCCATACTTGCTTTATTCTTCATAAATGCTTAGCACCATATAAGGAAATTTATCAAGACCTTTTAACTAGAAGCAAGCAATCTAAAATTACATACATTTTGCAAAAGGTAAAGCATTGACCTGAAGATAATGCAGAAAAATGCTCAGAGGATAAGGATAACTTGCCAAAAAGAAAAAACGCTCTCGGTTAATTAATAGTGTTTTTAGTGATGACAAAGAAAACATTGTTTAATTTATATTAATATGTATCACTTTAAAAAATTTTAATGAAGATATTTATCTTAATTACAAAAATATACTAGCATGTTTTTTAATTTTTGAAACCTAACCCTCCTTTTCATATTAGTTCTTTGTTTCGTATAACACGGATTCGCATAACACGGCAATTTTTTGGAACGTAACTACAGTGTTATACGGGAGTTACCTGTACTTATCTTCAATTACTCATTTCATGTAGTTTGTTATACATCATCATAAATCTTTTTTTCTAAATAAATATACCATTTCAAAGTTACTTGTCTATATATATATACATAGATGACTATTCATTGGGATTGACAAACTTTTTTCTTGGTATAATACACAGAGGAATATGCAAAGAAATTCTGTTCCTGTCCTGGTTTCTAGAATATGTACAATACAAAACTATCCTGTAACTTATTCCATTTTTCAAAAACGAATGAGTTCAGTGTTCAAATTCCACTGCATAAACATTGCACATGCAAGGGCTCTTAACTCTTCCAAACTGAACATGTAGAACACACTAACCTTTAACTTGGCAAACTTTAATATCATCATCTGACCGAAGTTAAAGGTTATAAGGATGTTTTTGCCATGAAAGTGTTCCTAGATATTTGGATGTACTGTACTGTATGTATACTTAGGGATTGAAATTTTATTTATTGTGTATAACAATAATCAAGATGCATTTTTGAATTTAAAAGATTTTCTATTAATAATGTAACATTATACAATATTTTGGTAAATAAACTATATATGTACACATTACATGCTGAATTCATCAGTGTGCCACTTTATACTATTTTCTTCATTCAAAAACAGTATTTAACTATGAAGCAAATAATGGAAATTAGTTCTGCATCTAAGGGCATTCACATCATAAGTAATTTACCTGATATAATTTAATATTCATCTAGTCTTTTATAACTTATTAAAAGACTTATGCTGTTTTACAGTTGTAGTAAATATTTTATTTTTAATTATCTCGTTAACATATAAATGGGGTTGGACCATAATTTTTTTTCTTCTTTTTTACGGTGTACGCCATTAAAAAAGCCAAGCAGATAAGCATTTCCGATATTAACTTGCACCGTTCTCAGTAAAGTTGCCGGAATAATTATTTGAAATACATAAACAGTTATAAATGAAAATAATGATGAATAAAGAAGAATAACGTTTTCTTATTCGTCATTATTAAAATAAACCAACTAGATAAGCAATTTTTCATTTATTTATTTATTAGGCCTAAAATGTCAATTAACTGGAATAACTAACCTTTAGCATCACAGTCCACACAGTATTTATTATCATCTTCCCTTAACATCTGCGCTAATATCGCTTGGCATTTCTCTTGTACTTGCCGCTGTCTTTCTTTCTCTGCTTTGGCTGTCATGATTGTTAAAAGTTTAAAGGGGTGATAATTCGTAAAATAATGGTAACTCCGGCTAGTCTTTTATTTTCCGTTAGGAGGCGTCATATCTGTTAGCGCAGTCGTGTGCTGACGTCATCAATATTAAAATATACTATTATGCGCCTATCGTAAAAATTTTTAAAGTTCTTTCCATTATTTTATAAATATTTATTTATTTATTTCTAAAATAGAAATTTATAAATTATAATAATAAAAGTTTGTAAAGAATTTAAGCTATTATTATTTTTTAAACATTTTTTTAAAACATAAACTGAAAAAATTATTTAAGTTAAAAAGTTTAATGAAAAATGGAAGATTATTTTTATTCAAATATTTCTCTAAATATAAAATTCAATTAAATTAAACGTATCTATATTTCCTTTTCTGATAAATCGATTTTATTAACACGAGAGGCTACGGAGTATCCGGTTAAAATAAGAATAAAACTTTAATTATTTTAAAGGAAATAATTGATTTTCATATAATAAATAAATATATAATATTCGTATATTTTGGTTTAATTATAATTTTATTTAATTGAATGTTCATTATGAAGCGATCTAAAAATGTTCCGATAAACAGTACATTGGAGATTTGTAATATCGTTCCAGATTATTCAAGTTATAAACCGTATTAACAGGCCACGTATAAAAATATTAATTCAAGCATAGATCTAATTTAAACGGAATAAATTAGTTCCACTCTGATTAATTTGATTCTAGCAATATTAAATCATTTTCATTTATTTAATTTATTAGAGACATAAGATTTATTAAAATTAAGTTTTTTTATATTTGCATTTTGCTAAGTGAAAATGTTTTAAAACTTTGTCAAAATATGTTATTTGCATATTACAGTAAATTTCAAGATTGTGTATGACACGGGAAATTTTGGAAATTTTGATCCCTCCCATTTAAGAAGTATTAAATAAATAAAATTAAAACGAAACGGTATACTGTATTGGTAACATAATTTTTACGATTGTTACAAGATGTTAGCATTTTTAATTCTAAATTTAAAACAAATAATTTGTCTAACAACAGAATAATTCCCAGTTTTATTTTATTTTAAGCATATAAACCAATACGTCCTATTTGTTTAATGGTTTTATATAAAACATCTGTATTGTTAAAATAGACAAGCATATGTTTTCTATCTATACAGTACAGTACATCATGAAATATGTTATATCTTAAACTTTCAGGAAGGGGCGTGTAAGCAATACTTCTATCAGTTTTCTACTTACAGGTTATTGAATTGTTTGCGTAATTTTTTATTTGGATAATAGATATATGGTTTCAAGATATCTGAGATAATTAATAGGCATTTTCGTTTCGTCTAGAAAGTGAAGTATACATGTCATTTTTTAAACTTGTTCACTGTAAAACTGAAAACACGACGTCAAATTGATGTAAAGTTTGTAATTTCTGGACGAATCGAACAGGGCTAATGCGTTACACTTTTGTTAATGTGAGGTTTTGCGTTTAGAAATCAATTTTTTATATGAATGGACAAGACTGTGATGAGATAGGCCATTATAATGAAGAATGACAACTTTATCGAGATAATCATGTACTGTATCTATAAAGTTCGGATAGGATTCGAATCCAGATCTTTGTAGTAATAGACACTTTATTTAAAGTTTTTTAATATTGATCATGTAAGTTTTGTAGCCTCAAATCAAATACCTGGATAGACCTTATTAACGTCAATTGCAATTTGACAATTCACATGTATTATAAGCGTGTAAATCATAAAACAAAAATTAAAAATATGAAAAATGTTATATATTTTTTAATTATTTTAGTAAAATAATGTATTATAATAATAAAAGTTTAAAAATAATGTTAATATTAAATCATAAAATTATATGTATTATTTTTATTCACTAGATGGCGAGCAATCGTTTGAATGTAAATACTGTACTTCGTTTTAGTTCGTGGAGTGAACTTTTTAAATAAAATAATATGGGTCCTCCACTGGAAACAGAAGTAAGATTTACATAGATTCGTTTGTTAAACAATGTAGGAATGTTTTATTAGTATGTATTGTTTAAATAAATTATCTACAGATTAAATTCAATCCTTTATACCATTACTTATTAATTAAAATCACATGTACTGATTGGACGATTAACTACAAGCACGTGCAATAACAAATACTCCAGTAATATACTAGTACTTCTTGATTTTGTTGCTCCAAAAATCCGATTAGATACAGATAATGATATAAATAAATACGTTAAAAAATCTTCGTTTATTTGTAAATGCCATTATATTGACAAATAGAAAAATTGTATTGTAGTTTAAAAAAGAATTATAATAATAATACTTTTTGTTTTTATTTTAAGTAAAAACTGTTAAATTTTCCAAAATAAATTTAACAGAAAAAATAAAAGTTGTAGCTCACAATTATAGGGCAGTAGTTCCCAATGTTTTATTGGACATGTCCCACCTAGGCACCTTTAAAATCTTGATGCCACCTGTGACATATAATTCTTATTGTCCAAAAAGTAAACTCCTATTTATGTGGAGGAAGTGTAAAAGGCCATTAACTTGGTTTAAATAAGCTTCCAAAAAACATGGCATTTATGAAAGAGAAAAATAAACGGACAAAGTCAACCACTGCCTTAAGGACCATTTACACACAACAGCGATGTGCCAGCACAGTGATGTGAATGTGCTTTTGGTGAGTGGTCATAGACTTTTCTGAGGCTGAATTGGCTATGATAGCTATATGTTTGGATGAAGAAGAAAAAGAAATGCAATCAAGAAAGTGCCATAAATGGGTACTTTTCAATCATGGACAGAAAGGTCAACAGAAAAGGAGTTTTATACCCTTTATAAAGAATTAATAGATGACAAATCTAAATTTTTTGAATATTTTCAAATGTTCCAACATGCATTTTATATTTTATTGAAAATAACAGAGAAATATTCATTTTGTAGTCAATGTTCATGTATTTCAAATGAGATAAATTGAATAGAACAGGGTGTTGATACACCATTTCAATTAAATGTTCGTCATCCATTGGAAAACAAAATTTACAGCAAAAATATTGTTCTGGTCAAATGTACTTTCACGGTACGGTCACGCCACTGCCACTGCACCATACTGTGATGGACGAGTCTGGACAGGGTAGTTTGAAACTAGGTTAACGATTTGTCACCAGCAAAAAATCACTTCACTGAGTGGACTACATGGTCACATCACTGTTGTGTGTAAATGGACCTTTATGCTATTGGATAGCCTTATGCTGGCGGGAGGTGTTAGCCCGATAGGTATGCTATTGGGCTAATGCCTCCTGCTAGCAGTGGTTGTCTTTGGTATTACAACGTATTGGGTTTAGTAGAGTTGTTTGAACAAAAGGACAGTTGAAGTGCTGAGGAAGAAATCACTAAGAAATTGTTAAGAAAATAATAATAATAATAATAATAATAAATGTCTTGACTCTGGTCCGGCATAGTACACAGCCACCGGTTTAAACCGAGTATTACCCACTAAACCCAACATAATAATAATATGCAGTGATATGAAAAACAGACACTGCAAAGAAGATGGCATGGAAAGAGAAATTTAAAAAACATTCTTGGCTTAATTTATGAATAATAAGATATAAGGACAATTCACTGTTAATAGCTCATTCTTGAATTGCCCCTTAAAAATCAAATTTCTCACCTGTGGGGCATGTGTCCTGTGTTGGGAACCATGGATATAGAGTTTTAATTATAATGGTGACAGATTTAGGGGTGTACTCAGGGTTGGTGCTAGAGTTCATTTTTATAATATACAGTATATGTAGATGACTATAATTATTTTTTACAAAATGGAAACAAATGGAACAAGCAAATGAAAGTAAGGAAAATATGCAGTTTGAAATAGAAGAAAAACAAAATAGTGTAAATTATGTAGACTTTACAATAAAAAGAAGATAGATTAGAATATAAAAAATATGTTAAACCTATGCAAGTGTCTAGAACCTATGCAATCAAACATATTGATAAATGTGAAGTTTAATATATTAAAATATATATAAATAAAATTAAAAGTAGAACTAGTAAAATAGAAAACCAGGAGGAAGAAATACAACAAATAGTAAAAATATTTGTTTAATGTTTACCCTAAAAAATTATTAGGTGAATGGCTAAATTAAGTAATAAAAATAGGAAAATATAATAATAAAATAAATTTAATACCCGAAAAAATGATTTGTTTAAAAAGCATTTATATTATAAAAATAATAATAAAATAATAGAAGAAAAAGGAGTAGTGTATTCTTTTCAATGTAGTTGACAAGATAAAATTTACATAGGGGAAACAAAATGAAAATTTAAAATACATATAAAGGAACATATAAGATCAATTAAAGGTTATTATGCAAATTCAGCAGTAGCCATGCACTGTAATAAAGGAGGATGCAAAATTAATTTAAATACAATAAAAATAAAGAAAAAATAATAAAAAAAGTTTTAAAAGACAATTATTTGAGCATATTTACATAAACAAAACACGATAATAGAATTAATGATAAATTAATTTAGGAAGAGAAATCCATCAATCATGGAACAGTTTTATTTATAGAGGATGTTATGTATAGAGAGGTATTTTAATTGGAAGTAATAGGAGGAAATAGAAAGAGAAAATAAGAACATGAAGAAATATAGAACAGAAATACAGTTAAAAAAAATATTAGTCAGAAAATAAGGTGTAAATTAGAAAATTCCATGATAATTACGTTGAGCTTTGTCTTTGGATGCTTTGTTGGTATTATTGTTGTATTAATATTGGACAATAGAGAAGATGTAAGTGTTTTTAAATATTATTGAGTCTAATATATTTTTAAAAAATGTTTTTGTATAATTGTTATAGAATGTTGTAAACCTGCTGAGGAGGGGTCTTACAGGTCCAAAACACACAGAAACAGTGTACAGGTGAAAATAAAGACATTTTGTTTTATTTATTTTTTTGACTAAAACTTCCTCCTTTTGCTAATTTGAAATTATACCAGTATAATAAGTCTTATTTTAAAAACAAGGCCTACATGGACAATATCTATATATANAGCTTTATAATTTGAATTGCAAGCACTAGAACAGTAATTTAGCTACACTATAACTTATTCAGAATATTGTGAGTTTGATAAAATCCACTATAACATAATAGAAGAAAAAGGAGTAGTGTATTCTTTTCAATGTAGTTGACAAGATAAAATTTACATAGGGGAAACAAAATGAAAATTTAAAATACATATAAAGGAACATATAAGATCAATTAAAGGTTATTATGCAAATTCAGCAGTAGCCATGCACTGTAATAAAGGAGGATGCAAAATTAATTTAAATACAATAAAAATAAAGAAAAAATAATAAAAAAAGTTTTAAAAGACAATTATTTGAGCATATTTACATAAACAAAACACGATAATAGAATTAATGATAAATTAATTTAGGAAGAGAAATCCATCAATCATGGAACAGTTTTATTTATAGAGGATGTTATGTATAGAGAGGTATTTTAATTGGAAGTAATAGGAGGAAATAAAAAGAGAAAATAAGAACATGAAGAAATATAGAACAGAAATACAGTTAAAAAAAATATTAGTCAGAAAATAAGGTGTAAATTAGAAAATTCCATGATAATTACGTTGAGCTTTGTCTTTGGATGCTTTGTTGGTATTATTGTTGTATTAATATTGGACAATAGAGAAGATGTAAGTGTTTTTAAATATTATTGAGTCTAATATATTTTTAAAAAATGTTTTTGTATAATTGTTATAGAATGTTGTAAACCTGCTGAGGAGGGGTCTTACAGGTCCAAAACACACAGAAACAGTGTACAGGTGAAAATAAAGACATTTTGTTTTATTTATTTTTTTGACTAAAACTTCCTCCTTTTGCTAATTTGAAATTATACCAGTATAATAAGTCTTATTTTAAAAACAAGGCCTACATGGACAATATCTATATATATAAAAATGAATGTATGTGTGTGTGTGTCTGTCTGTCCTTCATGCATTACCACACCGTTTATCCGATTGCCGTGAAACTTTGGGAAGTTATTTAATATACTCTGGCAAAGGTTTGTGGCATAGTACGATTGCCATAAAACTTTGGAAAGTTTTTTTAATTTTTTAATACACTCCCGCGAAGTACATTTATCCTACGATAGATGGCGCGCGTTTACACGAGCATTCGCGCACAGTGTGTTCGATCGATTTCAAATTGTGAAGACCATTTCCCCCCTTCAAAAAATATCTCTATATATGCATTTGTGAACTGTTATTTACGATATTTGTAATAATTTTTGTTTAATCACTTTATTTCAACTTTTTTTTGCTAATTATGTATTCGCTCGAGCTTCGTTAAAACCTTAACTGTACCCCCCGAACAACCGAAGTTGTAGGAAGAAATTCGCATATTTTACCAATCTAGGTATCCCCCTTTTTCAAATTTTAATATCATCTAATAATTTAAAAAGACAAATTACAATAAAACGGTTTATTATCCAACTATCAGAAATTTCACAACATGCCAAGGAAGAAAGGAAGGAGCAATTAAATAATGAAAATTATAAAGGATTTAAAAATATATATAAAAATGGGGAATATCGCACTTCTGACAATCGCAGCGAGTATGTGGGCTAAATTTGGAGAATCCGTGCTTCTTGCATGGACAACTGTATGTGGCCGGCTCACGCGTTGAAAAACCTTCCGATTTATTCGTGTACACACCAGAGGGAAAAACAAAAAATATCGTGTATCCACAAAATAAATAAATAGAATTGAAACGACACTTTGAAATGTTTTCCCGATGAAAATGAATAATAATAAGAAGTTTCAATAAAAATAATAAAACGTAAATTGAATTTTATCATAACGAGTTTGCTTGAATTTCCTTTCTTCTGAGATCGCAGCAATGCGCGACGGGTAAGCTAGTAAAAAATAAAATTGTCATGAAAACTATTTTATTATGAAGTTAGTGATGATTGAAAA